ATCCTAGACAAGTCACTAACGGCTATCTGTATCGGATTACTCGTCCAATAGCATGCTAACTATGTTATAACCAGGATTATCTATAGTTTCAGCAGAGTCCTCAAAACTTTTCGTCGAAAGTTCTAGAAGTGGTGATCAGGGGAAAGAACGAAATCCATCGTGATCCAGTCCTTCTCATAATAGACAACCTAACACCAAACTGTCCCTTCCTATGGATCTGTTGCAATCTTATTCACCTCGCAATGACATCGTCTGCTTATTTTTATTTCAGAGAGAGGAGCAAAATCCGATTTCTATCTACAGTTACCACGAGTGTGTAAAAATGTGATAGAAAGTCGGAGACCTTGTAGAACTCCTATCCTCTCTTATCAAGAGTCTTGATTGTGATATATACCTGTTCTCAAAGCTAGTTCGAAGTAACTAATATTGAGGGTTGGCGATTTTTTTTTTGTAAGAGAACGTACGAACAATTTTTGACTCAGCTGAGAAAAAAACAAAAAATTTTCTTGATTATAGGATGTCGAACCAAACCCTAATTGCTCTTGTGATTAGTTAGTGTGTATAGGGAACGCAAGAACTTCATCTCAGGTTGTTCTTCTTTCCACAGCTACAGATAATCATAGATGTAAGAAAGGTATCGAAGTATTTAATCCACTGCTAGGCATTATCACATATCGTGTAAAATAGCTGAAATGAAGGATTATTCTTCTTTCTGTAATTCTATGAAAATCTTGATTTTTATTGTATTTTACAGGTATTAGATCTACAAAATACAGATGATTTATGTTATATACGTACACATTTTGATCCATTACGTCTTGATGATAATTTTTATGAAGAAATTTATTATGGTCATAATACAGATAATTCATTAAATAATCAAATATCTAACGAATATGAAAAAGAATCAATAAAAAAATCTCAAATATCATTACGTAAACGTATTAAAATATCTAATGATGATGATGATGATATAACTATAAATGAAGTAACAACATTAGATAATTCAAAACGTCGTCGTTATAATTCGGATTCATTAATAGAAATCTCAGATAGTAATAATGAATTTCTTCAACGTTATAAACGAAAATTTGAATATGATGAACAACAAACATATGAACTTTATTCTGGTATATGTTCATCATCATCATCATCATCATTAACAATAAATAAATTAAATCATAAAGATTTTGATTCATGTACAAGTTCAAATGATCAACAAGAGAATGTATCATCATTATTTACTTATCATTCACTTGCTTATGATCAAATATGTGCACGTTGTACATGTGTATCATCAATATTACGTAATCTCAGTTTTATATTAGGCAATGATATTGAATTGGTCAAATGTAAAACATTAATTGGTTTATTAGCTCGTCTTTTATTACTCAGGCATGGGATTAATCACAATCATATGTCAGATAATCAATTATCTCCTGACGAAACAGTAAATCAAAATCAATTAAAAGTAAAAATTTTTTTGAAATAAAATAAAATAAAATTTTTGAAACTTTTCGTTTCTTTTTAGACTGACGAACAAAAATGTTCACCATCATTTTCATGGGCAGAATGTGTATTAAATGTACGTGAAAATACTCTTGTTACATTGGCCAATATTGCCGGTGCACTTGTACTTGATACATTTGATTCTGATTTATTATATACATTAATTAATGGTCTTTTACATTGGTCAACATGTTATTCAGGTGAAGCTATTGATTCTTTACATTCATCATTATTATCAGCACAACGTTTATCAATTGAAATTTTAACAAAATTAAGTGTACATGAAATGAATATGGATTTTATATTAGCAACACCACCATTTTATCGTATTGTATCATTATTTCATGTATTAACTGATTGGTTAATTGTTGATGATATAAATGGTGGTATATCAAATTGGCATCCACCATCATTAACATCATCAACACATTATTTTACAAATATATCACGACCACAATCTCATATACAACGTGAATTTGCTATTGTTTTATTAAATGCATTAATACGATGTGATCCATTAGCTACAAGTGTTATTGCACGTATACCATATGCTATATCATTGTTATTAAATTTTTTAGAAGATTATGAAATGAAAACAAATGAATTAATGGTACGTTATGGTCCTGATTATGTTATACGTTTAACAACTCAACCATCTAATATTCAACATGCTGAACAAATTTTATTTACAACAGGTGATATGTTAAAACGTGCAGCAACATGTTTATTATCAATAGTTAGTTATACGGATAATATTAAAATGGTGAAACGATATGAAGATCGAATATTAAATTTATCTACTTCACATGTTATTGATTCAAATGTTGGACGTGTTCTTACAGATGTTTTGCACTATTGTTCATTGCACAACAGTTGATTTTGTTTTTTTTTTCTTTCTTTCTTTCGTTCTTCTTTTTTTTTCTTCTTTCTCTTTGAATGTGTATAGTCTCCACTTTGTACAGATTCTTTTTTTTTCTCTTTTCTGGCCTTAGTATTAGAGGAATATATGGTAACAAAAAAAAAACCTAAGACAAAGCAAATGTACACTCATGAATGAGGATGAGAAAGGAAAAAAAAAGAAATATTATAATGTGTTTTGTTGTTACTATTCTTATTTATATCCTTCTTGTATGTGTACATTTTTTTTTGAGAAATGTATTTTTGTGTGGTCATACAAAAAAAAACGTTTACTTGTTCTTATGGATGGATGTTGTGTGTGTGTGTGTGTGTGTGTGTGTGTGTGTGTGTGTGTGAATTTTGTTCTTTCTCGGCCTACTACTTCTTCATTTTTTTTTCATACACACACTCCGTGTTTGATTATTTGTTTGCTGTTCTATATCTCTTTTTTTTCTCTCTTGTATGCTCTGCTGTTTTTTAAAACACTAATTCTGTCTTTGTCTATCTTTTTTTTTCTTCGTTTTTTTTTTCTTCTTGATCATCTTGCTGCGACGGAAAATATATAAACACATAATGTGTCAAAATTATTTCAATGATTCTATTAGTAATATAGAGAAGACAAAAAAATAATAACTGAATGAATTAGTTTCCAGGAGATCTAAATATTGAGATTTGCTGTTTCTTTTTGAATAAGAAAGAATTATGTATGTTAAATTATTTTCAAGTCTTTGAACAAACAATTGTCAGATATAAAATTATGGTGATAGACACGTTTATTGCGGCGATTTACACCAATTATCAGATGATTCTGTCATAAACTATGTTAGATAATGAATTATTGAAAGGAAGATTTACAACTGTTATTCATCATTTTCAGTCGAATGTATAGTAATTATGAGAGCTTGGAGAAACTAGATCGATTCATTTCTGTACGATGTCATATTTGTTTTTTTGAACTTTCAATCTTAAGTAATATATGATAAACTTAGATTATGAATTTTATTCATAGATAGATTTTGAGAGTTGTGACGAATTTGTAAAACTTCTGTATAAAAATATGTTTTGTTCATTAAATAATCGATAAATAATTGGAAAAAAAAGCATGAATCGTTTGAAAGGTCAATGTTTTGAATGTTAAATCTTTCATGAATAAAATATTCTTTAGAGCTAAACTTTTAACAAGGATAACATCGTTAAGAAATTTAATAGACTAGTCCTAATTTGACAAAAACAAGGTGATTGTAGCCAACTTTTATAATCTTATTCGATTTTGATTACACATGGTAACCTAATACATATCTAATTCAAGTATAATGGTTTTTATTCAATGGATATAACATTTTAACACGCTACAATGTTGGAAGTACAGCACATATAAGCGTGCATAATACTACGACATCTAGTCACCTTAACAAAAAATACAATATAATTATCATAAAAATGATTTTATTTCTGTTCGATGCAATGACATACTATAGTTCTAAAAACCTTGTTCATAATTGAACAATACTTGTATGTATATATATGCATATGTTTACTTCATTATTATGCTGATGACGACCTCATTTGTCTACCAACAATAATAGAAGGGAGAAACCTCCATTCATTTCTCCTTCATATTGATTGCTTACATTTCTTTCGTTCTGTTCTTATTCATCCGTTCGTTCTGTACTTTTCTCTCGTATATATGTGTTTTTCTCGTTGCTTCTCGATGATGTTGACCGTGTGAACGCATTCTAGACATCTAAACTGTCGAAGTTCAATTCAAAATTTGGCCTCTTCCATACTCTTCATCGTTATACTCGTTTTCTTATCAACAGAGCAATACAAAAAAAAAAGAAACGAAGTGAGATTGACAATGATAGATAAGAAATTTAAAACGTTCATTCACAGTTAGCTCAAATAAGGGGATTTACATTTCTTTTTTTTTTTGTTGCAATGATAAACGAAAAGAGATCACATAAATGTGTATATGTGCAAACAACAACAACAACAGATTAGAACATTGATTAATATAAATAATCAATACAGATGCACGATCATTGATCGGACTAGTTCCATTGAAGTATGTATATGACAATTTGAGATAAAACAAATTTCAATTATTCCATAACATTTACAAGAGAACTGATTACACAGACAAACATATGTTTTTTTTTTCGTCATCTATTTTTTTTTGCTGCGCCATTCTTCTTCTCTCCGTATATTCAATAAATACCAACAGTGTTACTCCCTCTCTTTTTTTTTTTACTTCTGTCTAACACTTCTTAACGCAGTGTAGGTTATAGTCGCCTTACTCATTTCTTTGTTTTTTTTCTTTTCGAAACTATGTACAAAGAATACGTGCAATCGAAATAGACGAGTGAGTGTTGGATGATCAATTGCGATGTTTTTTTTTTCTTTCATGATGATGACTGTTTCAAATACGAGAAAAAATTCTTATGATCAAAAAGGAAATGCACATATACACAATAGAAATATGTTGTGTAAAATACTAATCATTCCATGTTTTTGTTTTTTCATATTTTTATGAAACATGTGAATTTAATTACTTTATTACAATAATGATTTTTCTTATCTAAATTTCAGATAGAATGATTTCGAATTATTGTTTCGTTTTTATTACATTTGTTTTATTCAAATATTCACGTAAGTTTAAAATTTAATTTATTATTTTAAACTAAAATAATAATAAAAAATAACTACTAATAAATGTTTATTTTAGAGTCATTACAATCAGGTTATACATGTGAAACATCAGTTACATTAACATGTCCTGAAGGAAAAAAATTAATTATATTAGAAGTAACATATTCATCAGAATGTCCGAGTCCAGATGAAGAAAAAACTGGTGGGGTTATTTATGCACCATCTCGTTGTATTGGTTATTATCGAGAACGTGCAAGTACTTTATGTAATGGACAACAAACATGTACAATTGATAATAGTCTTGAACAACGACCAACATTTCTTGTTGGTAAACAAGCTAATTGTGCATTTACAGGTCAAAGTATTAATATTGATTATTCTTGTGTACCTGGTAAATTTCAAAAATCAAAGAAATATTTTTCTAATAATTAAAAACAAAAAAAAAATTTATTTACTTTAGATTTTTATTCGAGTAAATTACCTCGTATTGATATATGTTCATTACAATCACTTCATGGTCTTACGGAAGGTTTTATTCATACACCAAATTATCCAAATGGTTATCCAAATAATCGTGTATGTTCAAAGACAGTACCATCACCTGATGCTGGTTATCGGTAATTATTTTTCTCAAAATAAAAAAAAAAAACAAAAGCGAAGTTTCGTTTTTCTTTTTCTTTTATTTAGATTGAAAGTTTATGCTCTTGATTTTGATCTTGAAGGTTTTAGTATACTTCGATTTTTTGGTATTAAACGTATTAATGATTGGTTTCAAATAAATAATAGTGGAGAAAAAATGTGTGGTACATTATCTCCATATACACTTCTATTTGATGATGTTATTGAAGCATCATTAATGTTTAAATCTGATTTTGCTAATACGAAACGACCATACAAGGGTTTCTTACTTTATTTTATTGGTAAATAAAAAAATGTTTTCTTCTATATAGTGTGATCCATAAGTAGTTTTATGATAAAAAGTGTTAATATCTCCACTCTATGAAGCTAATTACTTTTCCGTGATAGAAGAGACTTTAGAGGTTTTTTTTATAAGAACTTAATGACCTTATAAGTCATAGCACGAATCTAAAATTTCTGAACTTCTAATGGTTGATACATAATAAACGAACTTTTAAGAGCACTTCTCAACGTATTAGAGACTTCGTTTTAGACTCATTTGACAGGGGATTTCATGCTCTACAAAACTACTATATTTATTTTTCAAATAATTTTTCTTTGTTTGCACAAAATTTAAAAGATAAACACTTACTCAATCATCTAACTACTATGAGCAAAAAATGAAAAATTTTTCATAAGAATTTTGCTGAAATTTTAAATATATTACAAAGTTTTCCACAAAATTCTGTATCTTTTAATATATGTTTCAGGACTTTAGAAGAAATATATGGAAGAAAAATTTTCGAAGTAAAAAAAAAAAGTGAAAAACCGAGGAACTATTGTCTGACAGAAATATATCATTGTTCTTTTTTAATTTGACATAACTAAAAGTTTCTACTTTTGAATATAACAATCAGACTATTTTGTTCAGAATTAAATTTTGCCCCGTTTATAATTTGTCACTCGTTAGAGATTTTAAAAAAATATACTTCGAAATTTTAGACTCATGGTATGATCTGTAAAGTCATAAAATTTTCTTATGGTAAAAAACTTTGAAGTTTCCTCTATCACGAAAAAATAATTAGCTCCATAGAATGAAGATATTCAATTACGACTATAAGTTTTTCGATGATTGTTGACTACAGAAAGAAATATATTCCGGTTTCTAGAGAGAGATTTTCTCTATTCAATGATGTATGCATTGTTAAGTTTTACTACATACTGTTGACATATTGATAAATGGTACCACCTTCATCGTCGTTACGGTGGAATGTAACGAAGGTGGCGACATCTATCGAGATATGAACAACAGTACGCAGTACATCATTAGATTGAGAGAGACTTTTCCTATAAACCTACATATATCCCATTTTGTAGTCAAAATCTTATAGTCGCTTTTTTATCGTAAAGTTACTTACAGACCATCCCGTATTTAAATAATCATTTATATTTTTTTTCAAGTTACACCAATTCGTGGTCCTCGACCATCTACTACAACAACAACAACAACAGAACAAACATCAAGTATTAATCCAGTTATACTTTCAAATAATAATGATCAATCAACAGTTTTAAGTGAATCAAAAATTTCTGCTCTTAAATCAAATGATCGACGTCAAAGTAGATTTCTCAATAGAAAGATCTTAAAGAAAAATTTTTCTTTTTTAAATTTAGATAATATTGGTCTAACTTTACTTGTTGTTCTTTTATCTGGCATTCTTTTTGTTGGTTTCTGTGCATTTATACTTTATAAACGGTAAATTTTTTTTTCTTTTTTTTTTTGTATCTCTTTTATTATTATTATTTTCTTTGGTAGTCGTAATGATCGTCGTATTCGTTATTTAACTGATATGTTCAATTCATTTTTTCCTGTTCGATCAAAAAATATCAAACTTAATACAACAGATAATAATGATGAAACAAGATTAAATAATACAGTACAATCAAAACTTGATTTATCATCAATGAATAATGATGAAAAATTTAATAAAATGAATGTTTATGATGAAACATTTCTTCAAACACCAAGAACCAAACATGTAAATATAAATGAAAAACGTGAAAATCAAGAAAAACAAATTTTTATTGAAAATCTTAAAACATGTCCATCACCATATTCATCATATCGACGTTCCGATAATAAATTTAATTCTAAAGAACAAATTAATAATGAAATAACCAAAAATTCAAATATTTATTCACAAGATCCACTTGTTAAAAGCAATTCTTTAGAAAATATTGATAATAATACATTTCATTATGAATATATTGATTTAAATCAACAACAACAACAACAACAACATCAACAATCAATTGAAGAACCAAAGCAAGAAGAAATTATTTATGATGTTATTAATCCAAATAATGAACGACCCGTTCATCAACAAACAGATTATGATTCTGTTATGTATGCAATACCGAAAGATGTTTGATTTTTTTCGTATGTTTATATCAAACAAATATCAATTTGATAATATATTTACTTTTTACAAAATCTCGTTGAGCAGATACATTTGCGTAACTTTCTGTGTTGTTAATCTTCAAATGCGGTGGTTTTTTTTATGTAAATAGATGTACGTACATTTAATACGCATGTTAAACAGAGTGCTTTTTTTTTGCTTCGATTCTTGATTAAACATGAATTTGTTCGCAATTTCTAATATACGTTTTTTCTTTGTCTATCACAATTTATTCAGTTGTCTTTTTTTTCTTGTTTGAACATAAAATATCAAGGTATGCATAAATAAATATTCAAGGATTTGAAATTGTATTAGATATTTTTATTTAATAAAAATAAAGCATCCGTAAAATATATCAATTGAGTAAATAATATTATCAATCCAGTCAATTAACAAAGTAACTTTGGTAATCAATGATAATCAAGAGGGAACAAACTGATTATCTTAATTTCTAATGGTTTTTATCCGATTTCTATCATTGAAAACCAGTGTTTAGCTGTTCATCGTGAATCAATAGAAATCATCGGAAATGCTTAGAAATTATAGAAAATCAGGAGAAATCATTAGAAATCAAGAGCAACCATTAGGAGTATTGGCATTTATTGAAAATCAATAGAAATCTGGACTACTTTTAATTTTATTACTGAAGATTTTCTATGATTTCTAGAGTAGAAATCAGTTTGTTCTCCCTTGGTGATAATCTTTTGTTCCTTATCGAAATACCATTGCACGAATGAGAAAAACTCTATGGGTTTAATTTTTGAATAAATAGCTCATAAATCTGATGCTTTTTTCTTCATTTCTTGATAGAGCAAGTTCATTAGTAAATAAAAAATTCATAGTTTTCCAGTCATTTAAGTTATTAAAATAACCAATAATGAATAAAATAAATTGTTAGTTCAGTCGACATGCTAACTGGAAAATGCAATTAATAATATATCTATCAACGACAAATTTAAATCAACTGAGTAACTAATTTAAGTATATCATATCGGATCGATACAAGTCAATCCTGACATGAGATATGTTAAGTATTCGATACAAACTGTTATTTGTTCAACTACGATAAAACTTTGAAATCATGATTTTTCCTTTTTTTTTAATTATTTCTTTTTTCAATGCATTATTTTTTCTAATTTCGTCGCATACTCGTAGCTATAGTACTAAGATTATCGTTCCTCTGGTATAGAAATTCATTGAATATGCATATATGTGTTTGAATGTCAATAATTATATATGACGCATACAAATAATGTTATAACATCGTTTTTATAATTTCAAATATGTGCTACTCAATTTAATTTATGATATCATTTTCGAGTAGCAATGATATGACTCATGAGAAACTTCCTCAACTGATTAATTACTTTTGAGTTACGATTATGTGCATCATGTAAATCTTAATGAGTGATGAATACTCTGAAAAGAATGCGAATTCTTAGCTTATTGTTACATAGATACTACATTTTTATGGTATGTTTTTAATGACTATCGTGATTGGACGACACGTCTTTTAAACACCAAAATATAAGACAATTGAGCACCAAATTCAAACATGTGAAATAAGAACAAAAACATTTTTATATTAATAACAAAAAATAACAAATAGGATACATAATAGATATGAGTACTAAATCAATAATTCAAAAACAAAAAGTGAAAAGTCCATTTTATAATAATAAAGCACATCGTACGTTTTTTGCTCGACCTTTTGCTCGTCGTTTACTTAAAAGTTCCGAACGAGTTTTATCAGTTAATTCATAATGTTTCAGTAATATTGCTAAGTCAACTGAATGTTTACATCAATATAACATCGTACCAGTTGAACATGTACATGATTTGAGTGGAGAAACTAGCAAGCAGGATGTATATGTAGATGTAAGGAGAGGATCTACTCACGCATCCATGCTCAAACCTACACCCTTGATTAACTTTATCGAGTGTTTACACGATATTCAAAAGTTGATATTCTTTGTTTGAGATTTTACGGTTCTTCACAGAAATGTGTATTATTATTATTATTCTCAAACTTGTTGTATATATACACTGTTACTCGTTTGCGTACTATAATTTACAAAACGGAATAAGATTATACAATTTGAGTTGAGCTTGTCACAATTTAGCATCTATTTATACCCGAATAATAATTTGATTCTTTTAAGATAGAATTGATGTATCTCTTTAATATCTTTTTTTTCATTTAGTGCTCAATTATCGTTTTTTTTTGGTGCTCAAAATATATTTTTTCCAACATTAGCAAACGTTCATAAATATATCTTCTGATACCAAATAGTGACAGTTATGAATCAATTTTGTGCGCAATTTGTTCTTGATAAATACTCATAATAATCCAACAACATCTGTAATACTCAATTGGATTGGATTAGTCTGTCAGTAATACTTCATTTATATTTATTAACATGCACAACAGTATGCCATTTGTTTATCGGCATACAGATAAAATAAAATGATCCAGTGAAAAAAAGGATTAGGCCCTTGTATAATGAATTTCTGTTTCTCTGTAAGTTATTTAGAGATATGATTTGACTAGATTTATAATATTTGCTTTTGTTCGTTTCGAGTAACTATGAAAGTCTTCTTCGGCCGAGAAAAAAAACCAGAAATCAATAATTCAATTCCCAGTAAAAATTGACTGCAATTTAAGATTTGCTGTAGTCACATAAAAGTGAGTAATTGTCAGTCGTTTTTTATATTTTGAAATAGACTATATTATATTTTATTGACTCTATTCAATATTATGGAAATAAGAATATGATTATGATGTATGTGGATAACGGAAAACAGAAAGTATGCATACAATTATGAACAATCATGTTGCATTGTACAGCTCAATATTGTGGATAACCACATACGAAGCAATAACATTACATATGGAGAAATATAAAACCAAATGCAGACGATATATAATATCTAGATACAAAGATAGTAGTAGAGAGTTTTTATTCCAAAAAATCATTGTATTTCTTTGTATGTAACACGAAGATTTATGATTATAATGCAGAGTCGTGTAAAGCATTGTATCTGTTGAAATGTGATCATTTATGACCGTGTATATTTAAACTAGATGCTTCAATAAGGTTCAAAAAATTCATCTCTGAAAGCATTTTTTGATGTGGTGGCGAAAGTTTGAAGAGACGAGTTGGCAGAGATGTGATTTATTAGCTGCTCCACAGGTATCTGTTAATTGTAGATTGTCTCAAAAGTCTTCTCTCATCACAAATAAATACTGTATTTGCATATATTGTACTCTGCTTGACTATCAATCATTCATAATTGTATCTTTTTTTTTCTAATAAAACTTCGTTTCATTGTTAACGTATACAAAACTTATTCATTACTTCCTATTACAAAATCTCTCGATCCTATTCTATTTTATATCGATGAATTAGATCATGTCATTAAAACTTCATGATTTCATATTGTTTCTCTCCTGAGTATGGGCTTTACGTGCGTTGAATCCGCAACGATCTATGCATATACTATGAATTGAAATTAAAAAAAATGTTTTTATCATATACTCAACAGAGCACTTCGAGAGGAAGGTCGATCCTTAGTAACACCCCATAGCATTTCTACCTCAAGTTACTTGAAACTGTTTTGCAAAAATTGCCAGTGAGCAGTTAGAAGTATGACGTGGTGCTAATCTATATTGTAAAGAACTACAAGAGAGGCGGACATTTCACTTGACCAAAACTTAACATATTCTCACTTCCATTTGCCAACATCAATGAGCTTCTTTGTCCCATTCAAATACTATTCAGTATTGAAGCAAAAATTGGAAAGCTCATCTTAGGTTACAGTGATTTTCCGAACGACAACAAAAACATAAGGTCCAATATGAATACTTGGCTTGATATCGTGTACGATGCATACTAGATCATTCATCGTTAAGTGTGATAGATTCACTGAAATTAATTGACCAAAATGAAACTGTTCTATCATTGTCAACAAGCGTTGATACGATTCATTCCAATAATAGGGAAGATCCTAAGTTCCTTTCGATAGACAAAGCAAATTTTGATGATGATTTAAATAGAAAATTTCGTACAATACTAGATAATGAGAAGTCATCGGTTTTTAACTCAAATCTAAATGAAGATGATGACACATACGAAGGAGAGTACCAAAAAGGCACCAAGCAAGAACAAAAATAAAAATATTAAATGGCGACCGATATGAAGGTCAATTTTGTGAACTATAATAAACATAAAAAAGGAACGCATCATTGCGTTGATGAGAAAATATAAGCAGACGATCGGTATAATGATAGACAATCCAATCAATAGCCGTTACTGAGACCCATCTGACGATGATTGATTTGAAGAACTATCTAAAAATTTTAAAAAACTTTCGATCTTTTTTGTTCTCGATAGGAGGACATTACGTTGGTGTTATTCGTTGGTCTATCGATAAATGAAGTAATGATGAATTAGTTTAGGAACAGATAAAGAAGGAGAATTATTCTTTTTGTTAATTGTATTATATCAGTCGCATTGTTTATGTAATGTTTTCTAATTTGTTATTTCAAGTTTTTTTTACCTTTTTCTTCAGGCAACTACGTCTCATATGATCAATCAATGATCATAGTCTATCAATTATTCTAAAATATCACTTGATTTTTCGATGGACAGGAAAATCGAAGATGATTGAATATTTGATTATTTGATACGAGAATAATCCTTCTATTCTCAATGTAGCGGATTTATCGATCTTGGTTTTTTCTTATTATTATAAAACTTTACTCAAGGAAAAGAATGTAGCTGACGGCTCTCCTCTATCGTCTTTTACGCTACAAAAAAAGATGTCGTATTTATGTGTGACTTATGATAGTCTCACAAACTCTACCACGAAGCTGTGCAGCATTATAGATGTGTCATTAGTCGTATTACAAAACATTCATTCATCGATTTGACTTGTCTGTACAGATACTATATTTTATATTAATTTTTAGA